CTTCCGGGCCCTCTCGTCCCTTTCAGGGGAGATAATGTGATTAATGTGAGACTCTGCAGGTTAATCTCTGCCTCCAATACATTAGTAAGAACACTCTGCTACCAAAAATAACTGACTGCAGGACTACCCCCATGCTAAGGGCATCAATCTCCTGCCGTCTTCAGTGTGACCTCTGTCATGGGTGCTCTCCTCTTGGGCACTGTGGACGAGAAGTCCCGCCTGCATGCACCAGGTCCTGGTGTTGTAATTGACATGCTATTGATGCCCCCACAAACATGCTAGCTACTTAAGATTATAAGTGTCATCAGTGGAGAATTAAAACGCTTTCAACCTGCCCCCTCTAGACAGTGTGCCTCAGTTCAGCTCTCCTTTTGTCAAAAGCTATTGCAGGAAACTCTGAATTTAGGGAAACCTGTGAATGCTTCCAACCAGGGATTTCTTCAAGAGATGCTCTTGCTTCAGTGAAACACAGAACAGAAGAGCCAAACTATCCCATGTATGAGGCTGCAGCGTAAGCGACACATTCTAGAAATTTTCTTGTAATTTCTTTTAAGAAACATGCTCCTGATATTCCAGATGCCTTTTGCCATGGCAGAATTATTTGTATTTGTAGTAAAAGAGTTTTGTCTAGTCCGTCCACTGGCAACTGTTTTGACTAGCATCTCTCATCTAAACTCTCCTAAAAGCACAGTTAATACATTCCCATTTCACTGCTTCAAGCCAAGGTGGATAAAAATTGATTAAACTGATTTTATTTAAATAAATGCACTTTTTAAAAATGAACCTATGGAAAATTTGACAGCCTCCATTAAGACCTAAATATGCTCTGATCTATTAAAATAAAAATTCAGGTTGTATGTGTTTGCTGCCAAAGTTTTAAAGAAATCAGCACTCTGAACCACTGGAACGTCACTGGTTAAACAACTTAAGCCACAGTTTGTACTAAAATCATAGAACATTAGAACTAGAAGGGACCTCAAGAGGTAGAGTCCAGTCCTCTGCCCTCACGGCAGGACCAAACACCATAGATCATCCCTGACAGGTGTCTGTCTAAAACCTGCTCTTAAATATCTCCAGTGCTGGAGATTCCACAACCTCCCTAAGCAATTTATTCCAGTGTTTAACCACCCTGACAGTGAGGAAGTTTTCCCTGCTGTCCAACCTAAACCTCCCTTGTTGCAATTTAAGCCCATTGCTTCTTGACCTGTCCTCAGAGGATAAACTAGCTTTTGTCAGTACAGGCAGTCCCCGGGGTACGTACAAGATAGGGATTGTAGGTTTGTTCTTAAGTTGAATTTGTATGTAAGTTGGAACTGGTACATATTGTAGGGGAAACTCTAGCCAAACATTTCTCCAGAGCTCAGTTTTATTCTCCCACACCTCACTTCCCTCAGTCCTTTATTCTCAAGCTGAGGTGTCTGCTGAGAAAAGCCGCTCCACGTCTCCCTGGTCTGCCGGGGGAAAGCAGCTAGTGCAGGGTTGCCTCACCCCGTTTGTAAGTAGGGATCCGATGTAAGTTGGATCCATGTAACCCGGGGACTGCCTGTAGTAACCTCTTCCACAGCTACAGACAATATTTTCTTCATTTCATTTTTATTCAGCTAACTTAGTTCAGTGACTAGTTTAATCAAAGTTAAGAAACCAATTGGGAATTGAAAAAGCAAGAAGGCTTTTTTTCTTCCAAACAATGATTAAAAATTAGGTGTGAGAGGATGAGATTTACCTGTTCTAAAATCCTGAAAGACCTAACCATAAACAATTACTTCACTTCACCAAGTACATACAATACTTCCTTTGTTCAGTAAATCAGTTGATTTTAAATGCAAAATAGTTGTTTGGATAAACTTCCCCTCCCTGTTGTGTGCATTTGATTAGATGTTTTTAAAAATGAAACTTTCTGCATATTTGTTAAATTCCAGTTTTCCATCCAAATAGAGATCGATACTAATCACACGTTTAAAAAACCTAGTAAATAAATCGTTCAAAATGTTGATATAGTAAAAATTAAGAATCTGTGTAAATGTAGGTAAAACAGGCCTTCCCACAGGAGCAATTCCGCTTTGCCCCAGTGATTTTTTTTTTTTTTTAAAGGGCCCAGGGCTCCCACCGCCACTACTCTCGCAGTGGTACCACTCAGAGGGCTGGCAGGGAGGCCCACGTTGTGGGTAGCACCAGAGGCCTGTTGCTGAGGCCTTGCTCTTTCCGCCCTCCCCAACACACACACACATATTGCCCAGCTCCCTGACGTTAAACTCTGTAGTATAGAAACAATGCGCTGTCCTGGTAAGCAAAAAGAAATTCCCCCACCAGTAGCGTGAAGGATAGCTTTAGTTACAAGTCAATATTTAGGAGGATAACTAAAAAATAGAAACATCAAACAAGATGAAAATTGATTTAAATCAAAGGCTGAATTAAATCACGATTAAAATTGAGTAAAATTAAATGGGTTGGATTTTAAATCCATGCATTCCGCTTTAGGCAGCGGGAGAGGAGGTTTCTTCTTTTAAGAAGTTTATTCTTTAACAAGATTTCTTACTGCATAAAGGGATTTGAATCATTTACTGGGGAGTAGCCATCTCTCCTCAACAGGTTAATTCTGTCACTGTTAAATCAGCCACGCTGTTTTCTTTGGGACTGATTTCACGACTCCGAGGCGGGGGGACAACTAAGGAGCGTTAGCATACCAAGGTTCTAGGACGGGGTTCTCACATCACAGCCCCCTTGTGACGACAAAAGTTAACATGGGACTGACAGGCAGAGGGGCTAAAGTCTTGGGGGAGGCTCTAACCTGCCCAGGTCTGAAGCTGAAGCCTCTTCGCTTTGGGCCCAGCACGTCTTAATGCCAGCCCAGAATGCCTCCATTAAAACAGGGTTGCAACCTCTTTGGGGTCCTGACCCCACTTTGAGAGCTGCTGTCCTAGGAGCGTGACACTGCTAGAACTCCCACTTACTTCACTGGAGTTCAGAGCCTGTCTTGGAGAAATGTAGCTTGATGGGATTGGCCAAACGAAGCAAGGCCCCACACTAAACATCAGCACGTTTCTCGGCTCGTCCATGGAACTCCTGAACACTGCACTGGATCAATGCCAAGACTTCAGAGTGGTGCAGAATGAAAGGTGGCAAGGAGCCTGTATGGGCCGTGAACTAGAGTTGCCGGTTCTGGTGGGCTGTGTTCCGGGAGGTTTCATCACATGATGACCTCTTTAATTAAAGATTAATTCCTGGAGCCCTCAGGGTGATACTAGAGAGTTGGCCACCCTACCTACTCCCTCAGTAAAGCCTCTAGTATTACTGGCAGAGCAAAATGAGACCTTCCACTCAACATGATGGCATTTCTCTGCCAAGATGTAACCGTGTCAGGGAGGGCACTTGGCATCTGGTTAGTGCAGACATCAGGGAGGACTGGACAGGTAGAAAGAGACCTGAGGTGTGCAATGAATTTGGCCTCCAGAAACAACAGCGCATGTGACCTCCAGTGATTAGTTTCAAGTCAAAGGCATATGGACTCTCAGGGTGCCACCCTTTGAAACTTGACTTCTCGTTCTGTTCTGCAGGTCCCATGAGGGTGCTAACTAGCAGACCATAGCAACTAGCACAGAGAGGTGGAATCTGAGTTCCTAGAGTGAACGTGCACAGCCAGAAAGAAGCAACAGCCTCTGCACCTCTTGAGTTTCTTGCTGCGTGCACAGCAAAGAGGATGGTTCTAATTGCCTTGTGCACAACATGATGAGAAACCTAAGATGCATTCTTACAATGGAGGCTGAGTGTGTGACCTCCACACTGTTCCTCCTTTAGTTTGACATGTGTTTGCTCTAGGGATGTGAGGGCACATCTACATTGCAAGGCAAAAGTCAAAGTAAGCAATGCAACTTCAGCCATGTCAATTGTGTAGCTTAAGTTGAAATACTGTAGCTTAATTTGGCTTTTGGCGCAGTCTACACAGCCAGAAATTGGAGGAAGAGCACTCTTCCTCCAACTTGCCTTACTCCTCGTGAAATGAGGGTTACAGAACATGGCATTAGTCCTCCAGCTCAACATTATTTCAAAATAATGGCTTGCTGTGTAAACACACTCTTTGGAATAACATTGGTCATTCCAAAATACTGTTGTGTAGACATACCCTAAGGCTTTGTCTACATTGGTGTGATCTACATTGGCATGAGCTTACCAGTTATCCAAACAGTTACACGTCGCCTCCTGGGCTGGCTTCTGGGGAGCTGGACAGCAGGTGAGAGCCGCTACGTGCCAGGAGCCAGCTTAAAATCTCCCAGGGAAGCCGACTGCCACCCCATGCTGCTGTCTGAACCACATTTAAATTATGTAATTGATACTAAGTGACTGATCTCCATGATCTAACACAGTTTGGGCATTTCTAAATAGCATATTGCAAAGATGAATACATAGATTATCTGGGAATATGTTGCGGAGAAGGAAAACGACATTCTGCAGTCCAGACCTGATGTAGCCAGTCCTGGATTAGTGCTAGGCTGAGGGAGGTGTGACCGTTTTAAAGACCATTATTTCCTACTGATCAGGACTGGAAACAAAGAACGTATGTACTTACATTTCTCTGCAGTGGTATCTGCTGTCAGATCCACCCATGGGCAGTTACCAAGTATCTGAACTCAAAATCCAGCCACTCTGTGACCATTTTACTTTTTCCTTCCCAGATGAATTCCAGTCTCATTTGTTTTAACACAACTGGTTTATGCTCCTAGCAGCCATTGCGTTCTACGAGATGAAAGCAAATCGGAATAGCTGATTCCAATCTGTGTGAAGCATTAATCTCCAATTCTTATCCATTGGCACCTGGCAGGCAAAAGCGGTGCAAGCGAAATGGGCAGAATGACGTGGTTTGATCTCTCGCGCCTGCTGGGTAGCCATCTTGGCCAGCTCGTGGCAAGGTTTTTGGTGCCCTACGTTTTCCAAATACGGTCTCTGGCCCAGTGACTGCAGTGACACAAGGGGAATGTCTGATCTCCTGTTTTTATATTTTTCAGGTTTATTTACCAGGGACCTGCAATCTCCATTTCTTACATGCACAGAGGGAAGCAGATGGTGTTGAAGATCACCTGACAACAGACTCTCTGGCAAGGAGAAGTTTTCTGTTTGGTTTGGTTACAGGAGATTTCAGGAGAGCAGAATCTTTTCAGCCCGTTTGGTTACAAGACTGTTGAATAAGGTCAAGAAGACCATGCTTCTCTCCCCACCCATTTCCCCCCTTCCTTTCAGCCTTGTTATTCAGTGCTACAGAATGCTACAGGTTCTTTCTGGGAAAGGCCCGCGTCTTTTTACTAACACAGCTGGGAATTAGAATCCCTACAAAGCATTCCCTTGATTGCTGACAGATACCAAGGCTCAAAGTCAGGGTGGGTCCGAGGTTGATTTTTGAAGTGAATATTCTTTCTCTAGGGCAGAGAGGGTCACTGGGCTTGCACTGTAGTTGGGAGACTGTAGAAAAAGTAAGGTTTTAGAAGCCCCATGTTGCAAACAGATGGTTATGTGGCTTAGAACCCAAGGGCTCCTTCACAGGGGGTGTTGCCTAGACAGAAAAGCAAGTGACACTAGATGAGGGTAGCAAGATGAGCTGGAAAGGAAATCGATTAGGCAAGATTGGTGCGGTAGTGGAAAGATCCTTGTCATCCTCTACCGGAATAAAACAAAAATCAGCATCTGTGGAAGTTGGCAACTAGGAGCCTAGCTCTGTAAGGGCCCGTGGAGTGGATGGGAGAGGTTTTCAGATAACCAACTGATCGATAAGGTGAATGTATATGACAGAAACAGAAAGTAACTGAAAAAAGATCTGAAGTCACTGAAGGCCTTGGCAGTACTGAAAGCATCACTCGCTGTAGGGTTTTAAGTCTCCTGTAGGAGACTGTTTGCCTTTTGCTGGATCAGTGTGGCTATGTCTATGCTGCCGTTTTGCCAGCAGTGAGTATGCAAACGAGGTGTGGATTAGCATACCATAGTGCTTCATTTGCATAATTTATGCAAGCTGTTTTGGCAGGGAGGGGGATGGAAAGTAGTGTGGCTGGGGTTTTTTGTGTGCAAAAACCCCGTTTTGTGCAAGATCCTTATGCCTCTCCAGGCAGCCTGGGAGCACAACTTTGTGTCAAGAAGCTTAGAAGTCCTGAGAGCCCACCTCAGACTGGGATCTCAGGGCCTCCAGATTCCTCGCTTTGAGAGTGTGTCTACAAAGGGCCAAGAGAGTGCTGTGCCAACTGAGTCATTTCCAGTTACCCATCATCTGACTGTAGGGCAGGGAGGTGGGAATCGCAAGTGACCAGTTAATTAGTTTCCTGGCCTGCATTTGGAGCAGCACTGACATTCTGGGACTGCCTGCGGCCTAGTCTACACTACCCCCCGCTTCCCTCATTGATCTACGCGGATAGTGTAGCTGAAGTTGATGTGCTTGGACTGACTTACCCACGTGTCTTCCATGCAGTGAGGTTGACGGCTGATGCTCTCCCATCGACTCCGGTACTCCACCAGGGCGAGAAGAGTAGACGGAGCCGATGGGAGAGCGCTCAGAGGTCGATTCATCGCATCTAAGGAGACACGATCAATCAACTCTTGATGGGTCGAGCGCTGCAGTGTCCATCCACTGTGCAGTGGTGACGAGCCCTGTTGGGGATGGTTCCGGTAGCTCTGTAGCCCTTGCTCAGTGTAAATACCGTGTCAAGCGCAGCATCCTTTGTACCCTGCGATTTTCTACACGCGCTAGAAACACCTTCCCCAACTCTAACCGCCCCGTGCGGGAATACTGCACTAGTTGTGCTTTCAGACTAGCTCTCACCTCCTGACCTAGGTATTCCACTGTCGCTCTGGTGGAACGGGACTGGGCTCCCAGTTAGAGAAGGGCCTAATCGTACAGGATCTTTACACGACTAACGTGCCTGCTGTCTGGGCGGAGGCTTCAGCCTTGTTTCTATTCGTTGACACTTCTCAGCCTATCCGTGTGCTGAGCCATCCCAGAAAAGCGAACGAGAAGGCAATAACTCCATTAGGGCTGGATTAAGGATGGTGTCTAGTTTTTCAGTTGGTGGTTGTTTGTTTTTAAACCTCTTAAGCCTTGACACCTCTGCCGAGGTTGAACGCAGAGCCCAGAGACAATGCGGGTGGCTCCGAAGGCTGTGCTGTGCATTAGGGGACGGGCAGGGCAGGAGCATCTAGTTCTAGTGGTGTGCTCCCTCCTGGAGCGAATACCCAGGGAGAGAACCTCACTCTTCTTTCCTGTACCTCCACCTTGATGCTTGAGAGGACTGTCTGGCTTTGGGACACCTCAGATCAGTGGTTAGTCTGTGTTGGGTCCCCAGGTTAGCAGGGGACGGTCGTGGCAACATCTAAGACCCTTCCACCCCCCGAAGTAATGAAGTGGTGGATTTTCTCTCTGACAACCCCTCCTCATCAGGCGCATGGTGCGTTGAAACGTAGCACAGGCGCGTGTGCTGTTCTGCCCAGGCTGTGCGTCAGAAGCCCCCCAATACTCCTTCATCAGGCAGCCAGCAGCTTCCTGCAGGCAGAGGCTCTTCCCCCGAGTTCAGGACTCAAGCTGGTGTTCAAACACTCTGGGGCACTCCAGCCATGCTCCCGACGCCTGGGTGGGGCAGTGGCAGCCTTTGCAGCTGTTGGCTGCTATAGCCACGTGCTGGTGGAGTGCAGCGCGCCCGCTCCCGCTGTGCACGTTCGCACATGCCTCCCCTGCCAGGAGGAAGCCCAAGAGGGATGTTACAGCTCAAAAGGCAACTTCCAGGCAGATTCCTAGGAGAGCTGCTTTGACTTAGCTAGCACTTCTCAGAACTTTCCATGTAACCTGCTCCCCGCCTCCAGCGATGCTCAGCCACCCGGGGCTGCCAGGCCTGGCATCCCTCAGAGGCTGTGGGCTCTCCCTAGCACTGCCCTATCTGACTACTGCTCTGCTCAAACGCCCTGCTGGCAGAGCATGCGGCAAGCCCCCTGGATAGCACAGAGTCCCCCTTGCAGCCCGGCCCCGTCAGTCCGCCTGCAGACCTCACGCTTACGCCTCCGCATTGGCATTGCCGATACGTTTTGAAACCCGCTCGCTGTTAGCTCGGCCCACCGTAGTGCCTTATAGGCTTTAGAAGCCACTTCCTAGGAAGAGTTCTAGGGCTGCGAGCCTTTGGCCACTTTCCCGCTCTCATTTCAAGGATGCTTCCCTCCTTTGGCTCCCTGCCTTTGCTGCAGCTGGCTCGGGGCTCACTAGAATAGCGAGGAGGTGTGTCCCGTTTTCAGGTAGACTGGTGTCTCGCCACATCTCACCTCTGGGCCCTGCTCCATCTCCTCCAGGGGCACCAGCAGCTACAAAGGGAAGAGCTCTAACAAAGTCCAGCTCTGGGAGGAGCTCTAACAAAGCTCTCTGGGAGGGGCATCTCCTCCCTCTTGCTTGACATCTGTCTGCCCAGCCCCCACCTGCTCCCCCCCCACACACACACCTTACGGCTGCTGACTGACACGCCTGGCCCATCACGTGTGTTTTTGGCATTCGGCGTGACCGCTGGGGAAATCCCAGCTTCCGGGAAAGGCGGAGCTAAGCCGGAGGCTCCGGACTGCCCGGTCTCTGCAGCTCACGTTCAGGCAAGAGCGTCTCCTGATTTCTGACTAGCCACGCTAGATGTCGAACTTTAGAACTGACCCTGGAGGAACAACGCTCGGCAGGGTCGGGAGACGGGGGGGGCTCCCACCACGGAGAGGCCGCTGGTTCGTGGGGCTCGCTCTCGTGAGCCAGGTTCTTGGGGGAGCAGATGGCATGGTCCTGTCATGTCCTGGGATTGTATTAAACATGTTTACTTCTAACTAGCCTGTTTACCGTGGGGGTGGGGGGAAGTAGCCGGAATGAGCGAGCCACCAGCCTGCGTTGGAGAGCCCCCCTCCAGCTGCCCTCCAACACTGGGCCGGCTGTAACGCCACACGTGTTTTCCATGCGGAGCGGGTGCTGAAATGGGCTCAGTAGGCCGATTAGAGAAGCGGTCAGACGCGCTTCCCCCTTGTTCTCCTGCTGCTGTTTAACGTTCGGAGGGCTGGTAACAGCTAGACAGTGGTCCCCCTTCAGTCTTCCTTTACTGCTCAGGATCCAGCTCCTTACCATATCAGGAGGCTCCCTGAGCCTTGGCGGAGCAATAAGAGACTGTAACAAAAGTTACCATCGTTGTGGAATTCCTCCTTTGTGTGTATTGTAAATCTCCGTCTGCAGTATCTCCTCTGGGTTTAAGCCTGCCCAGGACCTGCAAAGGGAACTGCCAGCTGCAGTGGGGGGCCCAACTCCAAGCTGAAGTTTGATGTACAGAGGCTGTGAGAGCGGGGGACCACGTTGCTGCTTTGTGCGGTTCCCCCCTAACCGCACGACCGCCGCCCGTCAGGCAAAACCCTTCCCGGGGCACGTGGTGGTCCTGCTGCTTTAACGCTTTGCCAGTCTCCTGCTCCCTGCCAAATTGGGCTGGCGCCCTACAGGGACCTTGCTCTAGAAGCTAGTTGAGCACTTACCCGTTCTTCAGCCGCCAGCCCTACACCCTCTGCTCTCGGTGGCTCCAGACCGTGCTGTTCCAGCTGGGCACTGCACGCTGCGTGGCGGTCCACCCGCTTCCAGCGATTCAGATTTGAGGCAGCACCCTGGAACTGGGCCTCGTGTTTCTCCCGATGCCAGGCAACCGTGGGCTGTGCGGCCGAGCAAAGCAAGTCATTTGGCCTTCGTATCGATCCGTTCCCTGGCGCGGCAGGCCTGGCCATGGCTCCTGGAGATCACTGCAGAGGCTGCGCTGTTCCTACGCTATGGTGTTGGCCATTGCTGAGGTAAACTGGTGCCTGCTTCCTCGGGCTGCCCAAGTCCACGGTGACCACTGGACTGCAGTGTGCAATGGCGGTCTGCCGCCTTCCTGAAACGCAGTCCCGCCAGCCGACCCGCAAAGCCTTTTCGCCCGGTTTAGAGTCCGAGCGGGGCGGGAATGCTGGCTGAAAAGTGCGGGAGGACATGGCCTCTTCTAACCTCTTCCTGCAATTTGTCATCTCGCTCGGGCTCCCGGGGGGTTTGTGGTTGGTCACTGAACTCTACTGGTGTGCAGAGTGGGAAGGCTTAAACCCAGACTCCAAACTAAAGTTAGTTCATGATACTAGTTAATAAATCTGTATTTTTCTTTTTTTGCACAGAAGCTGGTAATCTAGGACCTATGTGTGAACTTTATATGACTATTTTTTGTACTTGGTTTACTTGGGTTGGTATGAGACGTTGTATTTAAGTACCTTGAACACTGTGGATACCCTGATGTGTATGAATGGCAGAGGCTTTGTAAATTAAGAGACGTTTGTGTGAATAAAGCTCTTGGATGGGGTTGAAAGCCATACTCAAATTTGCAAGGTGAGTTTGGTTTCTTTGTATTCAGCCTTCTGGCTACGAACCACCGGTAAGGGAGGGCAGGCTAAGAGACGCCCTGAAGGTAGGGAGGGGGGTAGGTTCATGAGTGGCCTAGCACATAGGGTATTTGACTAGGGACCCCAAGGTTGTGCAGTTGAGCCCCTCCCTGGGTTGCTGACACCATCTGCCCCAGAGATGCAGCTGGCTCCCCTATTAGAAAAGCCCTTAGAGCAGCGGCACACACCCAGGCTCTCAAAGAGCGGCCGGGGCTGGGTCAGGCTTGTTCCTTAACTTGCCCTTCAGGTGTCTTCCAGCATCGAGCTCCAACCGACAAGCACTGAAGCCGTTGCGCTTTCCAGCCTTCACACAGATCTTGCCACAGTCTTGGCAGCGCCTGCGATACAGGGCGAATGGGAAAGCATGCTGAGAAACCGCTTTCCATGGGTGCCACCCACAAATTGAGGCCACCCTAGCTGAAATGAGGTGCACAACCCAGGTTCCTGTGGGCAGCAACCAGAGATCTGGCTGAACAAGAACCTGGCTGGGGGCATTTTATTTCTGTTCCCTTTCTTCCAAGAGAGGGGCTCTTGCTCCAGGCCTTGAGAAGGAGG